AGAGAGAGAGAGAGAGAGAGGGAGAGAGAGACTCCGCAACGGTCGGGGGCGCACTAGCGTGCGGGTAAGGGGAGCAATCCTCTTGCCCCTAGCCCTGGCGAAAGAAAGAGAGACAGAGAGAGCGAGAGAGAGAGAGAGAGAGAGAAAGAACGACACAGACAGCATGAAGCATGCGTTGTCCAAGCTTCGATAGTCAGTCCCCTCGGCACAGAAAGGCTCCGACAGGTAGTACCACTAGCTAGCAAGAGCAGCAATCATAAGCCCTAGTAGTACTTTTTCTTTGGGATCCTGATTGTACTTTTAGCATATCATACACTAACCCTAAACCCTAAACCCTAAAAGCCCACTCTAATGATCAAATCCCTGAGACTCGTTGCCCAGGTCCAGGGCCCCGAAGTCCCGAGCATTGACTTGGTCGACTTGCCGGGGATCACCTCCTGGCCGAAAGAGAAAGCAGAGGTGGGCTTGGGGATTAGGGTTTAGGGTTTAGGTTGGGGTTTAGGGTTTGGGGCTTGGGGGATTTGGGGTTAGGGTTTAGGGCCTAAGTTTAGGGGTTTAGGGCTTTGGGTTCTAGGTATAGTCTCCATTGCAGTTCGTTTTTTGGGTTATGCTTTGCTGGGTTTCGGCTTGTAGTGTTATAGGATTCAGGGTGGGTTAGGCAGTGGCTTTATGATCGTCCGGTTACTGAGGTTCGGAGACGGGTTGTCGGGCTGCAGCTGGACTGGCTGTAAGGTTGGAGGGTTTGCCGTTTACGTCAGGAGTGCGTGGGTCTGCAGACACCTGGGCTTCCCTGGACCCTAAGCCCGCGCCTTTCTCAATGTTGGGTCGGGGTCTAGGCCTGGGCCTTACTGTAGTGTCCAGGATTAGACGGTCTGGGGTCTGTGAAGGCTGTGCAGCAGATTATGAAGAAGCAGATTCGCGACGATGAGAACACGGGCAACAACAACATGCTCTTTGGCACAGCAAGACTCGACTCTCAGGTTCTAGTCATTCCAGTCCTTGCGCTGTCGACTCGTTTCATCTTGTTCAAGCGTCAACTCTGGGCGTTTGGATGTGGTTCCGATGCAGCATGTTCATGCCTCCCCACGAGGCGTCGTGTCGTGTTTCGATTCTGCGCTTAGACAGTGCAGCTTACGATGGGACGCTTACGATGTCAGGTTCAGGGGTCCTCGGTCCATCCGCTACACCCGGGCAGCTTCCCGGTTTGTACAACCAGGTCCCTGGCCTCACTCGATACTGGCGCACACAACGCGACACGGGTTCCGGCTGTTCGGCTTTATCCCTAAACCCTAAATATTTTGCGTCGAGACCTCGAAAAGGAGCCAAGGCAGACAATCCAAGGACAAGTCCAGCGCCGTTTATGCAGGAGACTCGACACCTAGATTTCGCGTCGCCAGTTTCCCGCTATCCTTGCATGCTTCGGCTAACAAGACACCTACCATTCTTTCCCAAAACTCATAATCTCAGCCTTATGGAACCCCATAACAGCCATAACAGTCCACCCAAAGACTAAACCTCAAACCCCTAGACCCAAGCCCTTTGTTGCATGCCGCTCAGCCAAGGTTCCTGGCGGTCGTCCCGGCCTCCGGAGACGTGAAGCCCAACACGAACAATGCAACGAGTCTGTGGTGTGTAGCTTCTTTGGGTTTGTTGAGGTTGCGGGGTTTAGTATTTAGGGTGTGTTCGAGATGTACAGGTTTAGGGTATGGTGCTTGAGGGCTTTATGGTTTTGGGTCAGGATTCAGAGGTGTAGAGTCAAGTCTTCGTTTGGGGATTTAGGGTTGTGGGATTCAAGGTGGCGTTTGCAAATGGCTATGTGTCTCGTCGGTTCTTCTGGGCGTGTCGCACGGTGTAGGGCCTAGAGGACTGGAGAGGCCGCGGTTTTGCACAGTCACTAAGGCGATGAAGTTCATCATGGAGAACCAGCTCCAGGACGTCAGAATCCGATCTCCTCAAACCCAAGTTTTAGGATGCAGGAACTGAAGCCCCAATCCTCGCCCCCCAAGTTTGACAGGATGTTCAGTTTTTGGTCCAACAGACTGCGAAGTTGTACACGATAAGACATGATTGTGCTGCCGGTCGTCTGCCAGACGACCAACTCTCTCGTGAAGTATCTTCAGCCGCATGTGTTGCCTCGTCGTGTTTAGGGCCTAAGTTCAGGCTTTGAGGGACACTGAAGCTCTTACCGTCCAGAGCCATCAGCACGGAAAGTCGCCGCGCCTCTCCCGTGAGGGGCTCTTTTCGGCTTGGGTTCTTCCTATGTGGGGCTTCGGGCAGGGCTTAGGGCTTTGGCTTTAGGGGCCTGCAGGACCGGACAGTCGGGGTCTTCTCGAAGTGCGACCAGACCAGCCGCAGCGGCTCGGACATCCTCCGCGCCCTCACCCTGAATGAGTCGACCAAGGAAGGCGACGGCAGCTTTTGGGGGTATTGGTAGGATTGGAGAGTCGGAGGACTTAGTAAGTCGGTAGTAAGTAGAGCTATAAGTGCACTGATCGGGATGCGTTGTATCAGCGTAAGGATGGAGCACTGCGATGCAAGACTGAAGTTGCAGAGTGTAACTTTCGAAGCAGACTACTTGACAGAATAGCAGAAACTTGCAGATGGGGTCTTGTCACTCTGCGTGTCGCAACGTTGAGTTCGAGAGTTGAGGTCGAGGCTGTTGCGTTCTCGAGACCCAACATACCTAAATCAGGATCCGATAAGCCACTTCAACGCAAACCATGAATATGAGGCCCTTATCACGCTGTTGCCTTCCAGAGTGTTCGTGCTACGATTTCGTGAGAGCTTTCCTACCAAAGCCTCAAGCCTCAACTCCTAAACCTCAAGGCCCCCCAGCAGAAACGCCCTACAGCCGTAGACCTTAAATTTATTAAATGCTCCAGCGCTATGAGAACCTGAAGCTCTGTGGACACTTAGCTCCAAACCTGCAACTCCTAGACAGTATGTACCTCCGAAACCTCATCAGGCGCTATAACCCTCGAATCCCCAGGCCCTCGGCCACAACTTGGGCTAGCAGCTACCCTCAACCCTAAACCCTGAACCCACCCCCCTCAAGCCGGAGAGCTCTACAGTAATTAGCAGGTGAGTCTGCAGAGAGTTTGGGTCGGATTGACCTCCAGACCTGGGTGGCGAGCATGCTCGAGCCCCCGCAGGAGAGATTCAGCATCAGAGGGGACGGTTTAGGGATTGGGAATTCTATCAATGGGATTGTTTTTTATGCGTTTTAACGGTTTCTAACTTCCGGGTTGGTGCTTTTACGGTTTAGGAGGATGTAGGATGAGGGCTTGTTTAGATTGATGGGTCGGGCGGTCGAGGGCTTTGCGGTTCAGGATGCAGGGCTTGACTTGAGGGTTGACGGTGCTAGGGTTTATGGACCAAGATCCTAGGCAGTATTACGGAGACCCCTGAAAGGGGACCCTTCTCTTAGCCCTACTTGTGGCTCTCTTAAAAGGGACATTCTTGAGAGGGTCTATATCCCCAAGGGTTCCCCTATTCCTAGCTCCTATAAGAGTTCGGTTTAGGCTTTTGGCGAAGGGCCTGTTTCTGGAGCTTGGAATTTACGGGATTTGGGTTCAAGGGTGTCTGGGTTTAGGGCTGGGAATTTGAGATGTATGATCCTTACGGTCTAGGGGTCAGGCCAGTCGCATCGTAGTTTAGGGTTTGAGTAAAGGTTGGTGCTTTGCCTTTGTAATGCAAGGCGGTTCTATTCTGTTGTCCGCTTTCGTTGTTTCGTTCTTCAGGTGTTTGGGTGCAAAGGCTCGGGGGTTTGTTTGTGAGTGTCGTGCTTGAAGGCTTCATGTGTAGGACTGAAAGTGCGAGCATATGACTTCGGGGTTGCTGCTGTGCTTTACCGGAACAAAAAGATTGAGGTACGCACAATACTGTCTCTCAAGCTGTTTCTGCATGCGGGGTAGGGAAGGTGAGATGCAAAACAGCCTGGAATGTCCCTTACCAAGACCTTACACAGTAATTCAGCCCGCCTCCCCACCACACGCCTTATCAATCCTGTAAGCCCCAAGCCTGAAATCCTTGCCACAAGAATCCTCGTCCTCGGAGGTGCCAATCCTAAGTCGGAACTCTCAGGGGATCCGGATCTTCACCGGCCTGAAGGATTGTTGAGGCTTCATGTCTTCAGGGCCTCCCTTAGGCCTCAAGAAGTTTCCCAAGAGCTTGGAAAAGCACCAGCTGACAGCAAGAGATGGAACCCTACACCCAACGCCAAACCCGAACCCTAAGCCCTCAAGTCAAGCAGCCCCTCGTGTGCAGGAGTTCTCCAACAATTTCGAGCGGCTGGAGCTGCAGAGGAAGAACGAAGTTGAGTTCTTCGAGAAGGACTCCTTCCCTGTGTCAGGGACGGCTTCATGGGCAGCACGGTTTAGAGTGTCAGGATTTAGCGTATAGGGTTTCGGGGTCTCGATGCTGAGCCTTGACCCGTCAACCTTCAAACCTATATCTGATTCTTTCCAACGGCGTGTGCTGTGGAGGGAAAAGTACTTCAAGGTGTGATGTACGTTGTAGTATGTATGCCCGAAGAAAGCGACAAACAGCTTTCCAGATGAAGTGTGATTGGGCGGCCAACGTCACAGAGTCAGGGACAGTCCGGGTTTCGGCTGGAGCCTTTGACAGATACTTCCCCAATGGCATTCCATGACACACCGCCCCAAAAAAGCAGTGCCCTAGCCTTCAGTCTCACTTTCTAGGGCGCAAGCTTCAAGCCCGACATTTTCTCTCGAGATGCAGGGGAATGTTCACGAGTTCTAGATTTTCCGGTGCTTTGCATGGGTCGATCCTTCGCAGAATTCACAAGTTGAGATCCCAAACAATTTCGCAACAGCTTACTGAAGACATGCGCAGGCGGATGAGAACTTCCAGCACGTGTTCCAGCAAGGGCATGCCGGCATGCGAGCTCTCATCGCCAACATCGAGCGCTCGTACTTGAAGCGCAGCTAGCATGGTTTCTTCAAGGGCTGTGGAGTTTACTAGCTTCGTGCCCGATGAGCCCTGAACCCCAAAACGTCAAACCCAAAGCCCCGGACTAAACACCAAAACTCCAAGTTAAAAAGCCTGAGAAGCCGTTTAGTCTCGGTGGAGCCTCCGACGTCACCGTGCTTCGAAGAAGCCTACATGAACTCGCACCCTCTGTGTAATCACCTTATAGAACCCTGATATAGTCTTTACGACAAGTGTTTGTAAAGGTTTGAGGCGTTCTCAGGATTTATCTTGTTGGATTTGTCCGCAGCGGATGGGATTGACGTTTTGGGGTATTAGGCTTTAGTGCTTCAGCCCGTATGAAACCTGAAGTACTCGAAAAGTGAAGCTGCTGTGCTTCGTACCTGAGGGCGAGGGGAGGGAGTTCCGATTGTAGGGTCATGAATAGCTAGCAACAGGTAACACTATTCCTCAGGTCTGCACCCTATTCTATTTTTAAGGCCTCCTATCTAGAATCCAAGACTCTGCGATGACCTATAATTGCGAGTAGTCAGGACCCACAGCCTGAAACTCAATGGAACAGACTCCGGCAAACGCAAACCCAAAGATTTATGGTATTTCATACAAGGCTACGGGTCAAGCCCCGAAAAGCCCTAAACCCAAACCCTAACGAGTAAGGAAACACTTGAACACGACCTGGAAGCCACACGCCATGCGCAAGGCACGCTTGGCTGGCCTTTGAGCTATAGGGCTTAGGGTTCTTATTGTAGTATATGATAGGGTAAAGATTCTATTTACGCTGTTATGGTTTGTGTTCAGGGTTTTCAGGATAATTTCTCGATCTGGGTGTTTCGGAGGTTTAGCTGTGGGGCTCTAGGCATAGGGTGTGGGTCATCTCGTCACAGGATTCAGCCCAGCCGAAACCCTGAACCGCAAACCCTGAGCCCTAAACCCCAAACGCTGAACCCTAAACCCTAAACCTCCAACCGAAACGCGGGAGCTTCACCGAAGCAGGTCCTTCTGAAGGAGAAGGACGTGGACTTCCAGCTTTGCATGCTGGGCTTGGTCGAGGACGGCCAAGACAGAGCCCTTGGGCTTTGGGGTTTCAGGGTTTACGGTTTGTGGCTTGAGGCTTAGCGTTTCAGATTTCAGGTTCAGGGTTGGGGCATGTAAGGTTGTAAACCAAGGGATGTTTATGGCTTGTGGTGTGGTCCTGCAGTGGGAGTGCAAATCGGCCTCTGCGAACCACGAACTCTCATCACAAAGTTCTAAGCACCGAAAACCTTGTTGGACGCCCTCAATTCTGAACTCATCGGTTTCAGAGTTTCAGAGTTTCAGCATCATCGTCACTTGCACCTTCCAACTTCCAACAGCCCCAGCCAGGACGAAACGGCTCGCTCCAGCTTGGCGAAGGAGGAGGCTGGGGTCCGGCATCTGGCTTCAACAACCCCAGAGCCCGAATGCTTTGAAGCCTACACGCTAAATCGCCCCCAATTCTCAATCGTTGGATGCCATCTCCTGTCGACCCGTAAGTCCAGTCCCCAAAGTGGTCGGTTCAGTGCTCCAGTCCCTCGCAGCTTCCACAAGGCACATGCAAGTTTCTAAAGCAATCAATGCCCAGACCATCAACATGACAATAACGAACTCAACCTTGCGGCTCGCACCCTGACCTCCGCACCCCACGAAGCCACATGTTGCAGGTTGAGAGGCGTCTGGGAGTGACCTCGCCAGTGACGAAGTCGGCTCACCGACTGCACCACACTCTTTCGGAGAAGGGTTGTTCGACAGAGGGGCTCCTTTTGCAGGGTTTTGGTGGTGTAGGATGCATCACTATCTAGAATCTAGAAGATAGGATTCGGTGTTCAGGCTTAGGGAGGCCTCCACTGAGGCTACAGCCTGAACACTGAAGCGATTCGTTTAATCGAGGCCTCGCTGAGCTTCGCAGCTTCGCTTGCAGGACACTGCTACTCTACCCAGTTTATCCATGCTTACATCTTATTCCTCCAAGCCCTATAGATGAATTGATTCCTAAACTAAACTCTGAAGTCTCATCACCTCTGCTTCCCCTGAACCCCAAAGCTTGCTACATCGTAGATGCGTGACCGTGTTCCATGCATGACGAAGAAAACGACTTGCCAGACAAAAAACCCTTAACCCCAGGTCTACGAGGACTTCATCCTGCGCGCCTTGCGCAAAGATCTCGCTGTGAAAGTTCGGGAGCGACCTTTTCCCGCAGTTCGGTCACCGGAGGGCAGGATGTAACCTCGAGGGGCCGTAGAGTTGGGGGCTCTTCCAGTGTTCTTCCCTCTTTGCTAAATGTCGGTGCACGCGATAGTACCTGGAACCGATTACATCGCCCAAGGTGCGAGGTCTTACCCATGCAGCGGCCAAACCCCGAACAACGCAAAAGCTGCAGCCTCACCAGATCGAACTGTTGGGCTGACTGAGGACTGCAGCGCTACAGTGGAAGTGGATTGACTTGCGAGGGCTGCGAGCAGAGGGAGGACAGGATGGGATGATTTCCAACATTGCATGCGAAACAGCCTACAAAGCAGAGTAAGCGTCTTCTGAAGTCGCATAAAAGGCAATGAAGCCTCCAAGGCTTTAAGCCCTGCCTAAGTTCCGAAGTCAGGAGATGAACTTGCTGGAGAAAGACCTCATGAATCTCATCAGCGGTGCCTGCTTGCAGGGGCTGGTTGGTTGTGGCTTTGCCGGCTTTGAGGCTAGAGGTAGCTCCATAATCCAACTTGGGAAGCTAGAGTGACAGCCTTCATGGCCCCAACTCGTGAATCGCAACCTTAAACATCATGGCTCAGGTGCTCTCGATCAGATGGAGTCGGGCCTGGTGACACCTCTGCAGAGCTGGCTTTATGCAAAGAGCTGCCTGGCTTCTGATCGTTTGGGAGACTTCGGGTGTGTGGGATATAGGGTTCGGCGTTTCGGGTTGAGGGTTTGGGATCTCGTCTTTCTATCAGAGTAGGACCTGGCTTTTGTGATCCCAGTTGTGGGGACCTAAATTTAGGGGAGTTGGGGTTGAGCATCTAGAACCGGAGCTGTAGGCTTTGGAGAAAAACAGCACCAGTGGCTGTGTCTCCAGTCGGTTGCAGTTAACTAAACCCCAAACCCTCAGCGCGAAGCCCTATACCCTTAGAGTTGGGTGTTCGACTATAAACACAAGCCACAGCCTCAGCCATCCTTGGCATTGACCCAACAGTAACAAGGCGGGTGGAAAAGAGGTGCCAACAAAAACGCCTTAATAATCCCTCAAAGCTTTAAATCCTGAGTTTCAGCAAGAGACTAACCCCTTCAGTACAACACTACATACGCTCTTCGCCCCAGGCCCTAACACCTGTCGCAGCTGTTGCACGGTTCGCATAATATGAAGTCGCAACGTTGCAAGGCGAAGTCGTTCAGATCCCAAACACTGACTTCGTGCGCCTGGGGTTGGAGTTCAGGCTCTAGGTGCTTTGGGTGTAGGGTTAAGATTTGGGATCAGCGGGTGGGGATGGGAGTTTGGAACAGTTTCGCGCTTTGGGTGTTCGGGTATGAGGTTTAGGCTACAACACAAGCCTTGTGCTTTTCTGCTCTCGCTGATTCTGTCATGAATTCTACTAAAGTCTACTTTGCCTGTAACTGTTGTAGGACTTCTTCGGCGAATATGTGTACGGTATATTTCAGTGCACCCACTTTGTCAGTCCTCTTGACAAGATCGCATGAACACATCACTGACGACATAGAGTATCACAGTGTTCATGTGAATCATCGGCACAAAGACCCGTATTCACCATCTCATACGGGGTAGTTCTCTAAAGTCGGGTCCTTATTTAGGAACCCCAAAGCAGGCGGCACCCTTATAAAAAGGATCCCAAAGAGGGACCCAGATATAGAGAACTGCCCATACGATGAACATGACACGGAAACCCTGAACCTAAACCCTAAACCCCAAACCCCAAACCCTAAACTCTAAACCCTAAACCCTAAACCCAGGCTCAAGCCGCTCAAGCATCTTCTCGGAACTCGGAAACCCCGCCTTCCTTCCTCGTACTAGCTCGCGCTCATATCGACTCGCGTCTCTCCCCTCGTCGAAACAGTGGCTGTGGTGGGTGTATGGTTGAAGAGCCTGAACGTCCCAAGAACGTACAGATCTCTTTTGGCACGTGGGGGCAGCCTCATCTCATACCAAAACCGCGATTGACTGCGACTGGCTGGAAACTAGAGCCCGGAGGGACAGCGTCGCACGGCAGCTCTGGCTTTGCCTCCCGGAGGCGCTCTACCAAGATGCCCCGTGTGGCCCATGAATGCGCCGAGGTGCCCATAGCGGACGGAGAAGACCGGGACGCGGACCTCGAGATCAATAGTGGCGACGAGATGGCCAGGAAGAGAGAAGCGGACCGGACAGGAGATCCCTCTCCCGTTAGACGCAGGGCCGACCCGAATGCACCCATCAACTACGCTGATTTGCAGGCAATGTTCATGGAGCAAACCCGACTCCTCCAAGCAAACCAGCAGACCGCTATACGAGAGGCGGTGAGTGACTTGAGGGCAAGCCATCGTGAGGACTTCCGAAGCATGAC